GTCGTGTTGCTCCCAGTCGGCGGAGGAAGCAGTGACGAGAGGGAGAGAAGGACGGGAAGACGGCGAAACCATCTTGTAGCCGGTCACCTCGACGGAATCAGAACTGGAACCCTCGTCGACAAGATGGGTATAGTCATTGATCTGCTGACCGAGGGAGCCAGATAGGGGAGACGAGTCGGAAGCTAAAAAAAGAAAAAAGAAGGAGAAGGTCAAAGTTAGTAAAGTCGCGAGTTAAGGCTCACAGGAGCGAATCAAGTCGACTCGCAAGAATCGACAGAGGATAAAAGAACCACAAAAAAAGGGGTAATCACTATTGATAGCTCGGCTTAAATAAGTCAGTAAGTCAATCCTAATCGACTCGACATGGGAAAACAGAGGAGGGAAGATTATTAAGTCGATGGAGAGTCTGCTCAATGATAGGTGAGTATCGGCTGCACATCGGCAGCCGACGACTGGCAAATAACAACAAATCCAAGCGAAATACGCATAACTCAAGATCCAACACAGAACCCATAGAACACCCTCGAAAAATATGAAGAACGTATATGAACTTCGAAAGTTCTGAGAACCCAGAAAAAATCAGAAAAAGGAAAAAATCAGCAGAGAATCGAGAGTTAAGAGATAGTGAACTTACACATGGTGGCCGGATTGAATTCGAAAGAAGTGAAGGTCGCCGGAAACGTATATCGCCGGTGAACCCGAAACTCGCAGGTCGCCGGAAAGCTTGAAGGAAGTTGAGAGAGAGAGAGCAAGAAGTTTTAGGATGCGGAAAGTGGTTTATGGAGAAAGTGAAGTATATTTATATAAGGAAGTGATGGCTGTGGATTGTTGGATCATCAAGAGAACCAACGATCCTGATAAGGCACGGAATTCGAAGAGACAGCGATGGAGATGACGCGCGTCACTTTAGGGTTTCGAAATTTGAAATTTGAAATGGGTCTGTCAGAGTGTCAGACTTATCCAAAAGAGCAATCATGAGATTGAGATGCGCACTAATCGACTGACGAGACGAGTTGCAGAAGAAGCCAGAATGAGCAAGAGTGGCAGGCAGACGGCACAATTATACTTCACCAAATTTACTCTTAAGCAGTCGACTGCTTAGAGTAATTTTTTTTTGGGGGGGGGGGGGGGGATGATATAGCCATATAAGGATAACCCGGTCCAGAAGCTTCCTACTCGACCGGTGAACCACTTGAACGACTCACGTGTCGACGTGACCACGTCGACCTGATCAAACCGACTTCCCCAAAATCGATCCTACCGAGAGCAATCGAGAAGAGGCAGAAATCCGTCCAGTCGACTCTAACCAGTCGACTTCCATCTATCGACTTTTACTAATCGACGTGAAGGGGAGAAGAATATCAGGGGCATAACTCCCAAGCATCAGATACTCTGGGTCGACTTCCACTAGTCGACTCCACTATGACGACTCCTTGAACACGACTTCGTCACAGAGGGCTGAACCAAGCGTAGCCTCCGAAACCGCACATGTTTATGAGTCGACCTCTTGACTCTCGAGGTCGACTCTGTACATCTCGAAGATCAGAACAATGAAGACGATTCACTATACTTACAACATATCCGAAGTTCTACGCACCACATAGGATAAGAAGGAATCTTGTGATGACTCAGCAACAAGGGGAGACGAATCGACTAGGGCATTTTGGACCTTCTAGGTCCACCGACTGGGGCATTTTGGGCACTTCAAGTAAGTATTCACTCCTATATAAAGGAGATGAGGTAACCCCAAACCCTAACTCTCATTCATTCCCACTCTCCCCCGTAGCTGCTGCGCAGCATCTCTTCATCACTCTGATACTGACTTGAGCGTCGGAGGCTCTACGCCGGAAACACCTCCGGCGTTGAGTTTTTGCAGGAATCTCGCGGTCTAGCAACGGTTGGGAAGCGGTTCAAGCAGATCTGAGCTCACAGCAACCGGTTTACTCCAGATCTAGAAGTAGACCCATCATGCTCGATAGGAGGGGAACAACCTCACAAGTTTTGTTCTTGATAAGGGTTGTATGCTTATCTTACATGGCTTGTTTCCAAAGTGGATTGGACAAAGCAGTGGAAATGCTATCTGGAGTACCTGCACTGAGTGAATTAATGAAGGACTTTGGTTTGAAAATTCTTCTTTTAGAACTTGTGATCATGGTATGCTGATTATGAGAGATCACTTGTTCTGGTGAAGTGGTACTGGTAACATTCCCAGCAGGTGAGCCATCAGGAGGATGAGTGTGTGATGATGGGGAAGAATGAGTCGACTATGTAGGTGAATGTGGCAGAATCAATAATGTGGTCGTGTTGTGGTGAAGCATATGGTGGGGAGGCTTAGGGTTATAAATTTGGAGGATGTGGTGGGTTAGTGTGTGATAGGGGAGGTGAAGATTGAAAAAGAGGAGAGTGTAATAAATCATCATTATGTTGCTCAACTTGTTTAGAAACTTTAAAAGGAAACAAATTCTCATTAAAGATTATATCCTTAGACACGACGATCTTGTGGTTATTCAAAAGAACTTTGTACCCCTTGTATTGAGAACTAAACCCCAAGAAAACACCTTGTTGAGAGCTCAAATCTAACTTATATGAACATAAGGTCTAAAGATGAGTGAAAGCAGCTCAAATCTAACTTATATGAACATAAGGTCTAAAGATGAGTGAAAGCAGCACAACCAAAAACCCTAAGATGGTTGTATTCTAGCATATGTCCATAGAGCTGAAAAAATGGTGATTTAAAAGAGATGGTTTTGTTTGGTATTCTGTTGATCAGGTATACTGCAGTACTAAAAGTTTCTTCGCAAAATTTTTTTAGGCACACTAGATTGAGAGAACAAGGTAAGAGCCATTTCAACCATTTGTTTGTGTTTCTTTTCTACTAGGCCATTTTGTTGTGGTGTGTGTGGGCAAGAAATCCTGTGCAGGATACACTTTCTGAAAACACTTTTGTTAATGGTTTAAACTCTGTGCCCCCATCACTTTGGATAATTTTTATCTTATGATTCAACTGTTTCTCAACAAAATTCTTGAAATGAGTGAAGGCTAAAAGTGTGTCTGATTTTTGTTTGAGGAAGTAAATCCAAGTGTACTTGGAAAAATCATCTATGAAGGCAACAAAATACATGATACCTGAGGTGGATTTAATGGGAGCTGGTCCCCACAGATCTGTGTGTATGAGTTGAAGAGGATATTGAGAAACATTAGTAGAGTGTGGAAAAGGAAGTTTATGAGACTTGGTTTGCACACAATCTGAACAAAAAAGATTTTAATTATTGACATAAGAGAGATTACACCCATCTAAGGCTTTCTTGGTTACATCAATGAAGGATGACCTAATCTTCTATGCCAAAGTTCAATAGACTTAGTAGCACTAACAACATAAATATGCTTCACACCAATAGACTCATTAACATGACTATCTCTTATTCTGACATACTTAACATAAGGTCTAACTGAATCTGAGTGATCTTGACTTCTGGAATGAACTTTACTAAGATTGGATGTGTATAAACCATTCTTAAGAATCCCTTTGAGAAGAGCCACTCCTAAAACTTGATCATTCACAACACAAAAAGTAGGGAAAAATTCAAAGTAAACATTGTTGCCTTTAGCAAATTGAGCAACACTAGTGAGATTCTTGGCTATTTTAGGAACATGTAAAAGGTTATTTAATTTGAAGGTATGTTGTTTAGTGTTGTGATTTGAGTGACTAAGGAAGGAAGCCTTACCAACATGAGAAATGTCTAAACCAGTACCATTACCAATTTGGAGTTTATTCTGAACTGAATAATCTTAAGCTACACTGAGGTTGGTGAAGTCATTGGTCACATGATGTGAAGCCCCTGAGTCAGGATACAAATCAATTTATGGATTGTTATCTTTGGTAGCAAACATGACTAAGGATTGACCTGACCATTTTCTTTCATTAAAACCTCTATACTGGTGAGGTTGTGCAACAAACTCAACATTATACCTGTTATAGCACTTGTCAGTTGTGTGGTTTGTATACCCACAAATTTGGCACTGGACCTTGTAGCCTCTTCCACCTCTTCATTTACCACTCCTACCTCTTCCTCTGAAACCTTGTTGATTTCTTCTACCCCTTGCTCCATAATCGTTGTAGGTAGGTCTGATTTCTTGAACTGCCACATTGATTGATGGAAGGGGTAAGCTCTCACTTGCTATGGAGGCGACCTGAAGTCTGCTTTCATAAGTAAGAAGCAAAGACATAACATCCATCATGGTTAGCTCCTCTGATCTAGCATTAATGCTCACCACCACAGCATCATACTCAGAGTTCAATCCACTTAGAACATGCATGATTTGGTCTTGTTCAGTGATCTTGTGACCTCCAGCTGCCAAAGTGTCACAGTACAACTTTATCTTGTTCACATTCTCTCTGATGCTCATGGTTCTCTTCTTAAGATTATGTAGCTGGATTCTGTAGTGCATGGTCCTAGCTCTAGACTAAGTAGAGAAACTTGACTCATGACTTTTCCAGATCTGAGAGGAGGTGTTCAAGCCTACCATTGAAATGAAGATGGATTCTGAAAGAGAGGAAAGGAGCCAAGATGCTAGTAACGGGTCCTGTCTTTGCTAAGAGATCAACTCAGGGTTGACTTGAAGAAGTTGACATGCGTCATTTTTACGTGCATTTTATAGTGATTTTCGTGTCCGTTTCGTCGTAGTTTGATATATAATTAATTATTATAAAATTATTTTTATTAAACAATGATGAAGTGTGTTATTTTGAGTTTTAACAGGAAATGGGGTCGGAATAATTATTAGAGTCGAAAACGACAAAAATTGGTCGAAGACGGTGTGCGAAGTATGCGTTTGGATGAGCCCAAATAGCTAGCAAGAGATGACTAAAAAACCAGCCCATTATCATTTAATAAAGGACCAAAAGATTGGTTGTAGTCCATTACATATTCAGCCCAAGTGCTACTTAAGTAAGGGCATATATGTAATTTTCATGGGTGAATATGGGCTCACCTTTTTCTTCATGAGAGTAGTGGACGTCCGCCATGAAAGAGCTTGGAGCTTCGCTGCACGTCCACCACCTCACCACTGCACCATCTCGACGTCGACGCTTCTCGCAGACCGGAGCTCCGACCAGACAACCGCCTGTCGTCCTGACTTCTGAACACCATCTTGTCCGAACCAGAGAAGAAGCTGCTGTCATGCCGGGATAAGGGAGTTTCTGGAATAGGACCGGAAATGCCATTTTATACGTCTATCATCCATCCTAAGCACTGTCATGGGGCTGAAAACGCAGCAGAAGGCGAAATCAACTCTGAAAATGGAGTCGTGATACTTCCGACACGACTCGTGTCGTTCCGACTGGTCGTGAATCGAGGTCTCGGCATTTTTACACGGTCGTGTGGGTCTGGGTGGCACTTGTATGGATTTTATACATTTTTCCTATTTTTAGGAATTTTTCAACCTATTTCGACTAGGACTCGATCCCAACTATTTAATAGACACTAGGGCACAATTTTAAAGAGTCTTTTGGGAGATTTTAAGACCTTTGAAGGCTAGAAACACGAGCAAGACAAGGGAGAAACCCAAGAAGATGAGATCGACGAAGCCGAATAAGCTTTTTCTTTCTTTTTCTTTTCGCTTTTTGAACTCAATGTTTTATATCTATCTTTCTTATTTTGAAAGCATGTTTCTAGGCTAGATTTATCTTAGATTCTAGGATTTGTTAGTACTCAGATTGAAATATGATTTAGTTTTCATTGCTTTCATTCCGGTTTATCTTTCGGTTATGAATTTCTTTTGCTTATTTTAATTGTATGAGTAGATGGCCACTATGAATGCATATTTATGATCTATTTGAAACCGAGAGGAGATAATTGATTGCTGGAATTGAGAAATTCATAATGTAGGAGAATAAATAGACTGAGAGGTTGATGGGATCCTGCGAGAGAATGAAAATCCTAGGAACTTATGGGAGTTAGTTGTTCATCTTGAGACCGAGAGGAGATAGATAACAATTAATATCTATGTTTAACTTGTTCAATATCTATGTTTAACTTGTTCAAGAGAAAAGTTTTAAATTAATTTAGCGATTATCTCTACGAATGGTAAAATCCTAGAATCTATCTTTTGTATCTTTTTTTATTTTTATTCTTTTAGATAAATTAGTTCTTAGGTTCTTAGTTCATAATCTTCATCCAATTCATTAGTCTGAATAATATTTAATCGTCATTATTTTAGTACTTAATTAATTTAACTACAATCTCTGTGGAATATGATCTTGCTCACCACTACCTATAGCTACGCCGTACACTTGCGGATAGCGAAAATAATTAGCGAACAGAAGTCCTTCTTCTTCTCCTAATATGAACCTGGTAGGTATCTCTATGGAACCATCAAGAAAACCTTCGAGGCCATAGCCTCTCACTGTTGTTAGAACCTGTTGTTTCTATATCAGATGATTGTCATCTATGAGTTTGATTGAGATGAGTTGATTGTGGAGCTGTATGGGTTGTGTGGAAGAAAGGAGATTTGGATTTGGATTTTGGGAGGAGTCCATCTCCTAACAATGGATCAAAGCAAGCTATCCCTGCTCTGTGTTAGAGATAAAGCAAATCATGCTTTCTGAATTTTAGCAAAGGCTTAACCAAAAAGAGTGAAGAATGCTAAAGAGGAAACTGCAGCTCAATACTTTTCCATTCAATACCAATTTGGGTTAGGTTACAAGGCCTGAATTTATACAGCTAGAAAAGAAATATCTAAAACTAGGAAAGAGATAAGGATAGCCTAAAATGAGCTGTGCAAAGGAACAGAATAACCCAACAGTTATATTCCAAATTTTGTACTGCATGGATGTAATTTCTCACGTGTTGACTGCATGCTGACGTGGAGGTTGACCGTCCAGCTGGATGAGAGCTATTTGCCAACATATATGTTCATTCTTACAAACTCCGTATGTTTTGGTTTTTATACCTCATCCATTTATTAATGCATAGAGACTATCATAGGAGGAGCAATTATTAGTTGGTACGTCTTTTGCGTAATCTATGATGATCATTTCCTGACTTTAGGGAGGAGATAAAAACATAAATTAGTGCTATAAATGTACTCGATAACTTTTTAAAAATTTCATAGTAGAAATGTTTATTCTAGATTCTAATTTTCGCTTTCATATTTCATATATGAATCATTTTACCTCATGTTTCTAGCATCAAGGCATCATTATTCTCTATGGTATTCCTTCGGTATACATTTCTTATAAACATGCATCAAGGAATCATTATTCTCTAGGGTATTCATTCGTATACATTTCTTTTAAATATAAATTTGTAACATCATTATTACTATATACATTTTTGTTATACCACAAATACTTGAACCGTTGAACCGCTCCTCTCCGAACCGGGTTGCATCTCCCTGATCGTCGGTACCTGCAAAACATGCCGGGGTTAGTCCCGACGCGAACACTCCGATGCTCAAGTCAGTGGTGGTCCGAGAGAGAAAACAGCAGAGTAACAATATAACGAGTGTTTGTGTGTTGTGTAAAAATGAATGAACCTGCCCTTTTATATGTGAGGTAATGTACAAGCCAAAGTGTTCTTGTCGGTCTAGGAGTCTTCCTTGTGTTTATCTCTGAATTAGGTCAAAGTCATCCAGGACTTTAGAATCCTTATCACTACAAACTTCCTTGTGACTTGGCCACGAAGCCACCTCCAGGCCCTTGTCCCCTCGACAAAACCTTCTGGCCGAGCTGTCTAGGTGCCGAAACGCTCAGATGCCGAGGTGTCTAGGTGCTGAGGCGCTCAGATGCCTAGCCGCCGAAATGCCTAGCTACTTGAGCGCCCAACTATTGAGACACCTAGCTGCTGAGACGCCTAGCTTCCCGATCAATCACATCCGCTTAGCTCACGACGAGCTAGTCTCCACCTAACTCCTTCCGAATACAACTGACTAAACCCGGATTTCGACCGGTCTGAGGTGAACCCCTACTAACGGCCGTATCATCTAGCCCTCCCATTTTTCGGACCAGCTAACGTAGCCTGGCCGAAGAAATAGAAGAATTACCCAGGCCGTGATGAATAGGAGCACCCCATATCATACAATGAGTAACCCAAACCCATGCAACGAGCCAGCCCATCTACACGCAAAACGCCGAGAATGCCAAGCCGTAACCGCGGATACCGAGCTATACGCGAGGAGCTGCCGAGCTGGGATGCCGAGCTAGCCGCACGATGCCAAGCACCAGTGACGCCGAGTTATTCACTCCGCCGACGAGCTGGAGTGCCAAGGAGCCGACGAGTTTCGATGCCGAGCTCCCGCGTGTAGCGACGCCGAGCTTCCGAGAAGCCGAGCACAATAGTCGAGATACCAAGCCGAAGGACGCCGAGCTTCCACGGTGTGCCAACCTGCCGAGGTGCAGTCACCGATGCCGAGGTGACGAGCTGCCCTGACTAGCTGCCACGCCGTCATGGGTTGCCGAGCTGCCAACCACGACCGTCGAGCTGCTAGGCACGGCCGCCAAGCCGCCAGATACGGCCGTCGACCCAACTATGCCGATGCCGAGCCAGGGATCTGGATGCTGATGCCGAGCCAATGAGGTGCGCCGACGCCGAGCTATCCATATGAAGTCGCCGACCGACCGAGCTGCTCACATAGCCCTGCCGAGACGACGAGCTATCCTGTCGAGGAGCCAACACCGAGCTTCCGCGAGTGGCGACGCCGAGCTCCCACGAGTGGCAACGCCGAGCTACCGAGGTTCACACCGGCGCGCTGATGCCGAGCTGCACCGAGACGGACCCTCCGCGACACCGAGCCACCGGCCACATCGCGACGCCGAGCTGCCATCATTGCCAAACTATCGAAGAGCCAACGCCGAGTACCCGCGAGTGGCGACGCCGAGCTCTAGCTGGGGACGCCAAGCACTCCGCCGCCGAGCCGTGGATCCTGATGACAAACGACAAGATCCGACGAGCCTGGTAGTGTTGATGAGCATGAGCCGCCGAGCCGCCCCATCACCTACCCACTGCACATGGGTCTCCTTCATGTGACCTAGGCACATGTGCCCACCTACACAACCCAATGCCCCTTTCCACCTACCATCCTCTTTGACCATGACATTATGCAACTTGGTCCCCAAGACACAATATCCACCTTAGATCACATTTCAAATGTAAGGCCAAGATCATCCAAGATCCACCTACCAAAATCCTTCACTCCCTCTATAAACACTTATCTTCCCCATTCATCATTCACTACCTTAATATTCATCTTCTTTCCCCTTATATAAATTCTCTCTCTAAAAGTTCCTTATCCGGTGATTTTATTTTGAACGGGCTCACAAAATTCCACCTAGCACTCACACTGCCCCGACGACGAGTTCGCATCACCCGACGAGCCTCCGCCGTCCCGACGAGCTAACGCCTCCCGCCGAACACTCGTCACACCGACGAACCGCGCGCCGACCTGCCGACGAGCCAACACCATCTCGCCGACCACGCCACCTTGCATCATGTCGGACAATTTCATGGGTATGCCGATCTCATCCCCCTCCTTTCGCTCTAGTTATCGTTGTGTAAAATACTTGTTAATTTATTATGTATATGTCCTTTTCTCATATGCTCGTCAATTGTCGTCCTACCATCATACCCATTAGAATCCTCAACTTCGACCACAAACACTAGCTCCTCATCGTCCACCACGAGCACTAGGACGTCCTCTCCTACGTCACACTCCACACTTATAGAAAATCCGACCGTCACTTTGGCCCTCCAAGTCTCGTCGACCACAACCTCCAACAAAACAAAAAAGGGTGCCACCCCCTCCCCAGCGACACCTTCTAACCCCATCTCTTACTCGGACGACCAAATAACCGCCCTTGTTAAGAAAATTGAGCTACTCCAAGGATGGGAACTCAGACTCCCACTACCCGGAGACTCATACAAGAACCCCCCCACCCGACTTCTACAGCTTCTTCATAGATCAAGCCAACGTCGGACTGAGACTTCCCCTACACCCCGACCTACTCGAATTGAGCAAGTTATATCTCTTTCCCCTAAACCAATTTTCTCCTAACGCGATGCGCTATCTCATTGGTTTTATCATGACTTGTCGGGCTAACCTCGACGAGTTGGACTCAGAACTATGCTTCTATTGCCTCAATCTCCAATCCTCGAACAATACTTCACCCTACCTCATGCCCCGCAACAGTGCTAAATTCTTAAAAAACCCTAAATCAAAAATTCATAACTGGCAAAACAAATTCTTCTTCGTTCGCCCCTCTTCCAAAATTTCCAACCTCCAATCCGAGTGACTGGACGAGCTGCCGGGCCAGCGAAAGAAACCAAGACGGAACGCCAAATATGACACCCTTATTGCCCAATGGAATAAGACCCCCTTCACGTGGTGAAGCTGACCACTAATGACCGACTCCTTCGGCACTTCCACCTGTCGAGCTGTGCCGCCGACCCCGTGAGTGATATAGGTAGGCCTCAACGCCACAAGTTGTCGTCATATCGCTTACTTTTTCCTTTATGCTAGTCCTACTCATATGACTTGTTTACTTATATTTTTTCTTTCCTTGTACTTGTCATGCAGCGGAACTTCTACAGACCTGCGCTGCCCCCCTGCCAAGTCCACAGAAGCAGCGCCTACTCCCCCCAAAGCGCCAGCGCAGGAGGTGGACAACCTTGCCCTGGACCAGGTCCCCGAGCGCCGGGTCTATCGTGAGCATCCGACGAGGTCCTTCAAGCGTAAGAAGACTTGCCCTAAAGAGGGGACCACATCGGCACAAGGCGCCGAGCTGACCACCGACGCCCTGCGGGCCAGGAAGCCAACTCGGTTTGCCGGGAACAAGGACGTATCGGTAACCAGCTCTTACCTCCTCGACATTTTTCCAAAGGGCGAGACAACGCAATGGCCTACCAAAAAGAGTCGAGCCGAGACGATCACCTACAACCTTGGTCTGGTATGACTCTATCACACTTAACTTACACCTTTATTAAACAAATATTGTAAAATCTATGCAAATCTAACCCCATGTCCCAAACAGGCTTTGGCTGGCATAGCTCCTCTCCTCGACGAGCAGTTGGAGGATGAGGATGACGAGGTAAAATCCCTCAAGGACGAGGTGGAGAAGGGCGAGGAGCGAGTTGCCGACCTTCAAAAGTCCCTCGATCGTCAAAAGGCCAAAACGCAGAAGTTCCAAGCCGAGTTCCAAGCCAAAGAGGCCGAGCTTAAAGCCAAAGATGCGGAGCTCAAAGCCAAAGACGCCGAGCTTAAAAAGCTTCGAGAGGAAGTTGATGAGCGCGTTGCTCAGGCAGAAAGGGATGGTCAGGGATCTTTTCTATCATCGGATATAGGACAGCACTTCCTCGAGTGCTTCCGGTACGAGCTGCTGTCACACTACCATGACTCCGTAGCGTTCCTCCGGCGAATGGGCACAGCCTGCCGTGAATATTTCCATGAGGGGGTCGTTCGTACCCAAGCCGAGGCAGAGAACCAAGGCTTCACCATCTCCGTAGATGAGCGCGCACTACTGAAAGGCGTCTCTACCCCATCTGGATGGAACGACGACAAGTCTCTTCCCCTGGACCATCCGTGGTGGGATGGGGCTTTGGAGGCTGCCGTGACTACTGTTGCGAAAAAGATCGGGGCAGATGTGTTGAAGATCTACGACGCGCCCCCTCGTTAGAGTTATGTGATTTCCTTTTGTATTGAAGTAGATGTGTTGAACGAACTCCTGTTATTTTGGCATGTAACCTTGAACTCGTTTAGTCGTTTGTTTTGGTATGTCGAATGGAACATGTTTTGTCTTTTATAACTTCTATGAATTATCTACAATCACTGTCTGCTGGAACTATGCTTTAATGCGATGCTTTACACTTTGCCATTACTTGTATCAATTGTCGAATACTTAAATAATTCGTCACTGTACGAGCATCCATATCTCTCCTTTCGGGACGAACTTCATTCACCAACTCTATAAAATACATAGCATCGTGACAATGGGCTTTTGCACCTAGCACAATTATTGCTAAGTCTCTTAGGACTCGCCTAGCTCCGCGAGCATTGAAGAGACTGACAGGCTTTCGCCCTACGAAGGTCGTCGCCTAGCTCCACGAGCTTAGGTGAGACTGACAGGCTTTCTCTCTACGAAGGTCGTCGCCTAGCTCCGCGAGCTTAGGTGAGACTGACAGGCTTTCGCCCTACGAAGGTCGTCGCCTAGCTCCGCGAGCTTAGGTGAGACTAACAGGCTTTCGCTCTACGAAGGTCGTCGCCGAGCTCCACGAGCTTAGGTGAGACTGACAGGCTTTCGCCCTACGAAGGTCGTCGCCTAGCTCCACAAGCTTAGGTGAGACTGACAGGCTTTCGCCCTACGAAGGTCGTCGCCTAGCTCCGCGAGCTTAGGTGAGACTGACAGGCTTTCGCCCTATAGAGGTCGTCGCCTAGCTCCGCGAGCTAAGGTGAGACTAACAGGCGTTCGCCCCTAACACATTCCATACAAAAGAAGGATCAAGTTGATAAAACTTCAAAAACAATCTCATTATTGGTCTTGTTGAAAAAACAAAAGCAAATGAAAGCAAATGCGAACAAACGTAAATAACACTTCTTAAGCTAGGCATAATATTTCTTCAAATGGGATATGTTCCAAGGTCGTGGCAGCAGCCGCCCCTCCGCATCCCGAAGCTCGTAGGTGCCTCCAGCGAATACCCTTTCGACAGTATAGGGTCCCTCCCAATTAGGCTCCAGCTTCCCCACATGCTTCAGAGCATCCGCCTGACGCCAAACTAAGTCCCCGACCTAGAAACGTCGAGCTCGAATTGACTTGTCGTGGGCAGCCTTCATCCGCTGCTTATAAACTGCTGTTCTCAAAGCAGCCTGGTCTCATAGCTCGTCCACCAAGTCTAGTGCCTCCCTTCGGAGCTCCACGTTCCCTTCTTCTGTGTAGGTGCTAACCCGTTCGGAGTTGAAGCCGATCTCAACTGGGATGACGGCTTCCATACCAAAAACCAAACTAAAGGGAGTCTCGCCCGTCAAGGTCCTCGGTGTCGTCCGGTACGACCAAAGCACCGAATCAAGTTCATCAACCCAAGCTCCTGAGGCTCTTTCTAACCTAGCCTTCAATCCATTCAGAATTGACCTATTAGCGACCTCGGCCTGCCCATTTGCCTGGGGGTGGGCTACCGAAGCGAATTTCTGTTTGATGCCCATCTCCTCGCACCAACTCATCGTACGCCGACCCATGAACTGAGTGCCATTATTGGATATGAGCACTCGGGGAATGCCGTATCGGCAGCAGATGTTATTGAAAAGAAATTTTATCACCCTCTCTTATGTGATCGTCGCTAATGGCTCGGCCTCAATCCTCTTGGAGAAGTAATCAACTGCCACAATTAAGAACTTTCGCTGGCCCGTTGCCTGGGGCAAGGGTCCAACTATGTCAACCCCCCACTGAGTAAAAGGCAAGGGCGAGCTGATTGGAACCATGCTCTCCGCTGACCGATGGATCAATGGACCATGTTACTGACACTTCTTACACTTTCGCACAAGATCCTGCGCCATCGTCCTCATCTTAGGCCAAAAATATCCAGCCCGCAGTACCTTCTCAACCAACGCCCTAGCCTTTATGTGGTCGCCACAGCATCCTTCGTGCACCTCCCTAAGCACGTACTCCCCATCTTGTTCGGAGACGCACCTGAGATGAGGCCCCATATATGATCGTTTGTATAGGATCCCATTCTGCAAGTAGAACCTCAATGCTCGTCGCCCGATTGGGTCACCTCTGATATCCTTTCCCGTGACAGGCTCCTGCAACCATTGTATTAGAGGCGACCTCCAATCCTTTTGCTCCTCAACCTCCAGCACTTGGTCTAAGGTACTCTTAGTCATATCCATCAGCGTGACCGAGCGAGATCGGCAATCAACAAGCGACACCGCCATTTTCGAAAGTAGGTCGGCCCTTCCATTTTCCCCCCGTGGTATCTGTATCAACTCCCAAGTCACAAATCCCTTTAACATCGCATGGACCTCCACCACATTCTTGTTCATGCGCTCCTCTTTAGCTTGATACTCACCCTTGATTTGTTCAACCACGAGCTGAGAGTCCGAGTGAATGATCACCTGCCGAGCTCCTTCCTTCAAGACGAGCTGAATTTCCTTAATAAGAGCTTCATACTCCGCCTCATTGTTCGACACTCTGAAAGACAACTTAACCGCAAACTCCAAGTGATCTTTTTCTGGTGCGACCACTAAGATGCCGAGACCTGCTCCACCTACTGCCGACGAGCCGTCGACATACACCATCCAAGGTCCAGCCTCGGCTCCCAATGTGCACTCTTGTATGAAGTCAGCTAACGCTTGGGCTTTAATAGCTTTTCGCACCTCAAAGTGGACATTGTATTTGCCTGGCTCAACTGCCCACTTCACCATCCTCCCCGAGGCCGAAGGGCGACCTAAGGTGTCTTTGAGCGGGTAGTTAGTCCGGACCATAATCTTGTGCGCCAGAAAATAGGGACGCAACTTTCGAGCTGTAGAGATAAGCGCCAGGGCGGCCTTCTCCACGTCCAAATACCGGCGCTCGACACCTTGCAATATCCGACTAGCATAGTATATTGGCTTCTGCTGTCCCTGCTCCTCCTTTATCAGCACCGAACTAATGGCTTCATGTTCTACCGATAGATAAACGACTAATATGTCACCTGGCTCCGGTTTTGTAAGTAAAGGGAGCTCAGCCAGAAACTCTTTCAACCTCTCAAATGCATGTTGTGCTTGCGACGTCCACTCAAAACGAGATCCCTTCTTCAAAGCCCTAAAGAACGGAAAACTTTTTACTGCGGATTAAGCTATGAACCTACTCAACCCTGCTAGGCGTCCAGCGAGGATCTGCACCTCCCTTAAGTTCCTTGGTGCCTGCATCTCCATGACCGCCCGTACCTTCTCTGCGTTGACTTCAATGCCCTTCTCCGTCACCAGGTAACCTAGAAATTTTCCTGACCTTACCCCAAACTTACACTTGGTCGGGTTGAGCTTCATGCCATATCGTCGCAAAGTATCAAAGGTCTCGCACAAGTCTGCCACATGGTCACCCGCCTTCCTACTCTTCACCAGCATGTCATCAACATAGACCTCCATATTCTGACCTATATGCCCTTTGAACATTTTATCTACCAACCGTGGATAAGTGGCTCCCGCATTCTTCAATCCGAAAGGCATGATGACGTAGCAATAAGTGCCCTTGGATGTCACAAAGCTGACCCTCTTCTGGTCCTCCTCGACAAGAGGGCTCTGGTGATACCCCTGGGAGGCATCCATCATGCTCTACAACTCGCACTCGACTGTAGAGTCGACGAGCTGGTCAATACGTGGTAGGGGGTAATGGTCTTTAGGGCAAGCTTTGTTGAGATCCCTGAAGTCTATGCACATCCTTCACTTTCCTTCTCCCTTTTTCACCATAACTGAGTTGGACAGCCACTCCGGGAATTGAATGGATCGTATATGCCCCGCCTTCAACAGCTTCTCCACCTCAGCTTCAATGACCACATCTAACTCAGCGCCAAAATGCCTTCTCTTCTGCTTCACCGGCCTCATGGTTGGGTCGATGTTCAACCTGTGCTCTGCTACCCTGGAACTGATGCCGGTGAGGTCGTCGGCCGAAAAAGCAAACACATCCACAAATTCTCTCAACCATGCAATCAGCGCGCCTTGAACGTCGACCGCCAAATGCCAACCTACCTTGGTCGTCTTTGCAGGGTTCCCCTCTATCAATTCAACTTCCATCAACTCGTCTTGGGAGCTCATCCCTAATTCTTGTTTTTTCTCCTGGTGGGAGCACTCAGCTGTCTTCAATGTGACCTCGTAACACCGTCGAGACTGCAGCTGGTCTCCAGTCACCTCTCCGACCTCATTCCCTACGGGGAACTTAATTTTCATACAATAAGTGGAAATGGCTGCCTGGAATGAATTCAAGCTAGGTCGTCCCAGTATGATGTTGTAGGCCGAGCTAGCATCCACGACCAAGAAACAGACCATCTTTACCTTCCTCAGAGGCAACCTCCCCAACGCCACAGTTAAGCTGACTTCGCCAACGGGACGAACCTCACTGCCGCTGAAGCCATAGAGAGCAGTGTGGACCGGTTCGACCTTCACGTCCAACTCCATCTGTTGCAAACACTTTAGGAAAATGATGTGCCGAGCTTCCCGTATGTATAAGCACCCTCTGTACATCATAGCTAGCCACCTCTGCAGTGATAACCAAGGCATCGTTATGTGGGACAACAAGCCCCTGCACATCATCAGCTCCAAACAGTAGAGTAGCCGAGCTCTTGTGCACCTGCACCTCGGCCACTTCGTTAGCAGCACTCTTTCCTCGGTAAGTCCTCTTCCTCTCCCTATGCGAATCTCCATCTGTAGGACCCCCGCGATCACATGTATAACGCCTATCTTGGTTGGCCTGTCATGTTGCTCATCAGTCCTCCTCCGTTTGTCACCCAGCTCATGTCCATCACGGCGATCTTCCTGGCGCTCCTTATCCTTGATCACGAACTCCTTTAAGTGGCCGGCTCAAATGAGCTGCTCAATTTCGTCTTTCAACTCCCGGCAGAAAGTGGTAGAATGGCCATAATCACGGTGGTATCGACAGTATCTATCCTTTCCAGCTGAAAACTTTCACGGTGGGGGCAGAGGTTTTGGTTGCGCGAGCAATTTGTCCTCTCCCCGCTTTTCCATCGTCTCCAGGATCTCCTGCTGTAGCGCATTAAGTGGTTTGTAATGCTCGTACCTCGGACCCCTGAACCGCTCCTCAACCTTGGACTCCTTAGCAGCAGTTCGGCGATCACTTTGCCGAGGCTTCTCGTCTACCTGCTTAGCCTTTGTTTTGTCATTCCGAATGAAATCCGCTTCAGCCTCCTCCATATTCACATACTTGCTACACCTCTCGAGGAGCTCGTCAAAGGACCTCGCAGGCCTCTTCGCCAGTGAATCCCTGCATTTACCGGGTCTCAACCCCAGCGTGAGACCCCCAGCTTTTATCTCCTCAGTAGCAGAAGGTACCTCTACACACTCCTCAGTGTACCTTGAAACGTACTGTCGCAGATTCTCCCCCTCCCTCTGCTGCATGTTGATTAGTGAGAGATATGTCTTCTCATGCTTCCTAGCGCTCGCGAACTGGTTTAAGAACATAGAATTGAACCTCTCAAAGCTGTCAATAGAACCGAGTGGCAACTGGTGGTACCAGTCTTGTGCTGAGCCCTTCAAGGTAGTTAAGAAAGCCCGACAACTAACCGCATCGCTGTATCGGTGCAGGACCGCTATATTATCGATCGACCTCAGGTGTCTAGCAGGATCTGCCGACCCATCATATGATAGGCTCAGCTCTCTGAAGTTATTTGGCAAGTCTCCACCTCGCACCTCTTCCGAAAAAGGATGACCATGCGACCTGCCCACCCTTCTCCCTGGGAGTCGGGCTTGCATCTCACGCATTTGTTCCGCCAGTCTTTCCAGAGTCAACCCCTCCTGATGCGCCACCAAGGGTCGAGATGTCACCGACCTATCCCCATCCTCATCCCCCCTTTCGCGCTGGTGGGTCTGGTGAGGGTGCAAGGACAACTGCTGATGCACGGGCTGCCTTAGCGATTCATTAGCTCGTCGATCAACCTCTTGAGCCCGCCCTATTGCGTCTGCTGTGATCCTGTCCAGTTCCGCCCTCGTCATATGTATCGTTTGATCTCCTCTTGCCGTCGAGGAGTTGCCTTGGGGGTTGGTTCCTCCTGCTAAGACCATCTGTTGATCGTTCGATTGGGTGGTCTCTCCTGCCAAGACCATTTGTTGATTGTTCAGCGGGGTCACCTGACCTGTGTTCCCATCATGGACCTGGCCGACCTGACCAATTCCTCCACTCGTTGCACCGCCGAGCTCCTTCTCCTTGTTGGTCAAGCCACCCGATTCTCCTGGGTTCGCCAAACGCCCTTGAGCTCCTGATGGCGGTGTCGGGGTCAACGTCTCCTTGGGGGTAGTAGGCGACGGCGACTACCCGGGCGGCGGCCCTGTTCCAAGAGCCCTCTTCGTCCACGCCTCATCCATATCCTTCGTCAAGTTTTTCTTCAAGTTATCTCCTGCCATGATCCCCGTTGCCCTCCTTCTTCTTTGGTGAGAAAAAAACAGCCTATGATACTCTGGTGGAAGACTGAGTTGTCCCCACAGACGGCGCCAATTTGTTATACCACAAATACTTGAACCGTTGAACCGCTCCTCTCCGAACCGGGTTGCATCTCCCTGGTCGTCGGTACCTGCAAAACACGCCGGGGTTGCTCCCGGCGCGAATACTCCGACACTCAAGTCAGTGGTGGTCCGAGAGAGAAAACGGCAGAGTAACAATATAACGAGTGTATGTGTGTTGTGTAAAAATGAATGAACCTGCCCTTTTATATGTGAGGTAATGTACAAGCCAAAGAGTTCTTGTCGGTCTAGGAGTCTTCCTTGTGTTTATCTCTAAATTAGGTCAAAGTCATTCAGGACTTTAGAATCCTTATCACTACAAACTTCCTTGTGACTTGGCCATGAAGCCACCTCCAGGCCCTGGTACCCTCGGCAAAACCTTCTGGCCGAGCTGTCTAGGTGCCGAAACGCTCAAATGCCGAGGTGTCTAGATGCTGAGGCGCTCAGATGCCTAGCCGCCGAAATGCCTAGCAACTTGAGCGCCCAACTATTGAGACACCTAGCTGCTGAGACGCCTAGCTGCCCGATCAATCACATCCGCTTAGCTCACGACGAGCTAGTCTCCACCTAACTCCTTCCGAATACAATTGACTAAACCCGGATTTCGACCGGCCTGAGGTGAACCCCTACTAACGGCCGTATCAANNNNG